AATCCAGTAGGAAAAATAGTATCGTGTGCCGTTGGTTTAAAGCCCGTGTCACACTACGCATTGCAGATCGCGAATCGGATTGAGATTGAGGGTGCTTTCACATGGAGCGTAAATTGCGTAGCGTAATCTGCGTATTACCAATCACAGGATCATGCTGATAGAACCGTTTCAATAATTCCGTTGAACTAGTCCTGTGATTGGCGCAGGTTACGCTACGCAACTTACGCTCCATGTGAAAGCACCCTGAGAGTCGCGGATCGCATTTCAGCCAATCAGACGAGACAGCCTCGTATCCGATTGGTTGAATTGTGCTCCGCGATCCGCAATTTCAATCCGATCCGTGATCCACAATTGCCACGTTCAGCAGGCACAACTGTTGAGTGAGCGCTCAACGATTTCTTAATATGATTGGCTGGATCTAAAAGTATTAACCAATCATACTGAGCGCTCACTCAACAGTTGTGTCTGCTGAACGCGGCCAATACGTAGTGTGACACGGACTTTAGACACTGCTGAGGTGGGATTAGTGGGAACCGTTGAAACAAATAAACATTGGATCGGCGGTCGCTCGCGAGCTCGGCGCATTTCGTGAGTGACATCGTTCGAAGAAACGTCTCATTGTCTGTTTAGCTCGTTCGAAGTGTCCGCATCTGTAGGAACAGTATGGCAACGAATGACATGTTGAGTCCGTCACTGCAAGAACTGGACACCAAGAGTTACACGCAAATGATAAAGATAAATGTAGACGAGTTTAGCTACTCGTGGACGATAAAAGACTTCAGTTTACATTGCAATAAGGAGAGGACGACTCGGGTGCTTATGTCGCCCATATTCTCAATAAACAACGAATCGAAATGGCGTTTGAAATTGTTCCTTAACGGTGTGGATAAGGAGAGCGAAGGCTACATATCGCTGTTTCTCCGTCTCGTTTCGTACAAGAAAGCCAAAATTGAAGTAAAATACGAATTTTCCATAATTGATGCCGAAAGAAGAAACCTGAACTTACGGCGCCTCAAACATGCTACGGAAATGGCCAGGCAAACCGAAATCGGATGCAATTTCATCAACGTCGATGCTCTTCTATGCGACGACAACCTGCTACCAAACGACACACTCGCGATATTGTGCAAGATCACCGTAGCCGGGAAAATCAATACGATGTCGCTTGCAGTGCCAGAGTTCCAGCTGACCAAGAATCTTGAGCTGTTGCTCGACAATAAGAAGTTTTGCGACGTAACGCTCGTCGTCCGCGAACAGGAGTTCCAGGCGCACAAAGCAATTCTCGCGGCACGAAGTCCCGTCTTCTCGGCGATGTTTGAGAAGATGCAAGAGACGGAGGAAAATCGCGTGGACATCGATATGGACGCCGACATCTTTAAGGACCTATTGCGATTTATTTACACAGAAACGGTGGAGAATCTGGAGACGATGGTGTACGGAATGTTCGCCGCGGCGAGTACGTACGAGGTGAAAAGGCTGAAGATGATATGCGAGGATGTACTTTGCAGGGCTGTGACTATTGAAACCGCGGCCCATATTCTCACATTAGCCGATCTCCATAGCGCCGATCGGCTGAAGACACATGTGATTAACTTCATGAATACGTACGCGAATGTGGTGCACACGGCAGACTTCAAGTCCATGATAAACACACACCCGCGGCTACTAGCAGAAGCTTACCAGGCTATGCTGCTAAGCAAGGCATCAACCTGCCAATCTGTAACGGAAAGATGTGCAAGGGTGGAAGCGCTCGCCGATAACGACAGGTTAGACCTCCAATACTGCCCGCTACTTCTGCACCCCCTTTGGATTTTCGTGTGACAATGAAGTATAGTAATGCAACTGTTTCCAGGTCCGCCAGTTTCTCAATTCTCTGGTAAAGGAAAAATCGACAACGAGGACTAATGGGGGAAGGAACCGAGGAGGAAGAAGATTGTCTTGTGCGTTCAGTTGATCGAAGATACCAATTTTTTATTTCTACAACGATAATCATTATAATGATAATTTAATTTTATCTTTTCTCTTGTATGTTTGTAAAATATAAAATGTTTCAACGTGGCGAACGGTGGTGTCTGGTGCCTCGCACCGGAACGTCGCATTGTGAAACTGTGCAATTCACAGGCTTGTTTTTTTTTTATTGCTGCACTGGCGAACTAGTGCAATGAGAGTAAAGCTGGCGCTACATTATGCGCAATTCGTAGTTTATTATTCGTAATTTGTCACTTGTTTCGTTCGTGTTAACTTCGACAACTTTTACCTGTCGTTACAGGATTTGTATCGTGAGTCTGCAATTAGTCAAGTTTTAATATTAGTAAAAAAAAAACCCCCCGCTCGGCTAGCGAATCACTGCGAATGATGAATCGACGAATTTTCCCTCGCACACTAGTCGCGAATATACAAATCGCGCATAGTATGGCGCTAGCTTAAGACAAGTATATGTTTTCTAACGCTCGTCGTCCGCGGACAGGAGTTACATGCGCACAAAGTAATTCTCGCGGCAACGTTCGACAACGAGATGGAAGCGACGAGGGGAAACCGCGTGGACAATGAGATGCAGGCGACGAAGAAAAACCGCGTAGACGTCGACGTGACCGCCGAAATCCCGACAGAAATGCTGCGATTTATTTCCACCGATAAAGTGGCGAATCTGGAGAAACTAGCCCACAGTTCATTATACGCGGCGAACAAGTACGAGTTGAAAAGGTCAAGTACGAGGAGGCACTTGGCAAAAAAAAATAACTGTTGAAACCGTAGCCGATCAACTGAAAGCACATGCGATAAACTGCATTAATACACACCCGCAGGTGGTGCAGACGTTAGGTTTCAATTCCTTGATAAGCTCCCATCCGCACCTGACAGTAGAAGCTTACCAGGCTTTGCCAGCTAGCTTACCACCCGACCTAGCGGAAAGGAGAGAATTTACTCGTAGAGTGATGGAACCAATCTTCCATAACGGGTATGACCTCCGGTACTGCTGCCCCCCACTTCTGTATCCCTTTTGGATTTTCGTGTAATAATGTAATAATGCGAACTGTTTCCAGGCCCGCCAAACTCACGCGTTACTGATGAAGGAGAGCTCAAGGGACCGACGCGAGAATCATATCCGATTGTCAACAAGCTCCGGTCAAGAGTATTCTGGTCGATAGGGGGAGAAAGAAAATTGTCTCGTGCGTTCAGTCGATCGAGAGCATAATTTTTTAAATATTTTTATAATGATAATCTTTATAATAGTAATTCAATTTTATCACAAATTTCAAAGAATTTGAAGGACTTTCAATTTTATCACAAATTTCAAAGAATTTGTGATTAACACATACGAGCCATACTAATTTATTCAATTTTATCATTTCGCTTTGTACGTATGTAAAATATAAAATGTCCCAACGTTCCGAACGGTGGTGTCTAGTTACTCGAATCGGAACGCGACATTGTGAGGCTGTGCAATTCACAGACTTGTCTTCTAATAGGCTTGTTTCCTGTTGCTACACTGGTGAACTAATGCAGCAGGCTAGAATAAGAAAAAAAAATATATGTATCTTGCTCTAATTTATTGCACTAGTGATTGAAGGGAGGAAAATTTTAAAACATTCGGTCGTTGCGATCCCAGCTACCGTCGCGAATATTTTGGAATCGTGAAACATGTGAAATTATTTTGGTAGACGGCACTTGGGCACTGCTGGGGTGGGAATAGGTGAAACAAATAAATAACGGGTCTCTCGCGACCTTCGTACATTTCTCGAGTGATATCGTTCGGAATAGACGTCTCATTGTCAGATCAGCTCGAAGTGTTTGAACCTGTATTGGAATAGAATGGCAGAGAATCACGTTCCGAGTCCGAAACAGGAGACCATGGAGGGTTACACGCAATCGATGAAGATAGATGAGATGAGCTACTCGTGGACGATAAGAAACTTCAGTTTCCTTGGAAAGAAAGCGAATCAGGAGATTCTGTCGCCCGTATTCTCGATAAAAAACAAATCGGAATGGCGCATGAAATTGGTTCTCAACGGTGTGGATAAGGAAAACGAAGGCCACATATCGCTGTTTCTTCGTCTCGATTGGTCCGTTAAACCCGAAGTTAACGTAAAGTATGCATTTTCTATAATTGATGGCGAAGGGAAAAGAATTAAGGCAAAAAGGATCAAAGAGGCTACGAAATTGAACTATAATAACGAATCCGGGTTCAAGCGTTTCATCATGAAACGAGATCTTCCATTCATCAGCTACCTGCTACCAAACGACGAACTCACGATATTGTGTGAGATCAAAGTGGCAATGGACACTATAATCACCCCTGGACGAAGTTTGATATCACTTTCATTGCCAGAGCACCCGCTGTTCGAGAATCTCCGGCTGTTTTTCGACAATAAACTATTTTCCGATGTAACGCTCGTCGTCCGCGAACGGGAGTTCCAGGCGCACAAATTAATTCTCGCGATACAAAGTCCCGTGTTCAAGGTAATGTTCGAAAAGAAGGAGACAGAGGAAGGTCGCGTGGACATCGTCGATATGGACGCCGAAATCGTGGAGGAAGTATTGCGATTTATTTACACGGATACAGTGAAGAACCTGAAGACGCTGGCGAAGGATCTGTTCGTCGCGGCGGACAAGTACGAGCTGGCAAGGCTGAAGGCGATGTGCGAGGATGCACTTTGCAGAGATTTAACTGTCGAAACCGCAGCCGGTATTCTCCAATTTGCCTATCTCCATAGCGCCTACAAGCTGAAGAAACACGCGATAGATTTCGTTAATACGTACCCGGCTGTGGTGCATACGGTAGGTTACGAGACCATGAAGAACTCCCATTCGAATCTGCTGGTGGAAACTTTCCACACTATAATGCAGAACAGGGCCCCACCCCGCCAAATGGTACTGAAAGAACCTGCCCAGGAAACAGTCGTCGATGAGGAAACAACCATCAGTGAGAAAACAAGCAGAGGTGAGGAAACAATCGACAGTGACGAAACAACCTCCACTGAGGAAGATTGATGACCAATGGGGAAACAACATCAGTATCAGGTATGAACTCCAATACTATCCGCTACTTCTGGCATCCCTTTCGGATGCTCGTGTGATAATCACGCAAGTATAGTAGTTCAAACCGTTTCCAGACCTCTCAATCGCTCTATCGTGTGGATAGTCCACCAACCAACATATAAAGAAAAAACCATCCAGTAGTGACGCAAGAATCATATCCGATTGTCAACAAGTTTCTTCTAATGGCACTGGTCCTCCTGTGGAGTCTAAACGGGCCTACAAGCTGATGCGTTAAGAATATTCTGAGATCAATAGCAGGAGAAAGAACATTGGGCGTTCGGTCGATCGAAACCACAAATTGTTTATATCTTTGTGCTGACATTTACTTGAACACAAGAAACTGTCCTTGTGCTCAGGTAAATATCAGTTCGCTTTATTAAAAGAGATTTCAAGCTAATAACGGTATACATTAGAGCGAAATGGTGAAATTGAATTGTTACCATAAAGATATAAATTTTTGCTATTATAGGTAGATTTGTAACGTTTCGTATTTTTCTATTTATTTAAAATAAAGGTTTTATTTGCAATGAAAAATGTCTTATAACAGAGAGGAAAGTCCCCTGTTATGAGACAGCGGAGTTTCTGCTAAATTTAAATAGGAATCGTCTGTTGGTTTCACCATTAATTTAATGCCCTTGGAGTGAAATCTTTCTGTTTAACGGAAAATTCATTGTTAAGGCCTGTGTCCACGATGCTAGGACTTGGTCCAAGTTCTAGTTTCAAGAAGTGTGTAGCCAATCAACCTGCAGCTATTCCATAAAAGCTGCAAGTTGATTGACTACACATCTCTCGAAACCAGAACTTGGACCGAGTTCTAGCATCGTGGACGCAGGCCTTTAGATCGTGTGAGCGTTGCGAGAAAAAGGTTTGCGATTGAATTTGAACGTTGAAAGCCTACTCTTATCTCACGTTAGCGTCCTATCTCATAATAGAGGACCTTGCATATTTTCTATTTTACCAACGTGCCGATCCAGAGTCGTGAAATCCGCTACGAGGTTCGGAAGGGCGAAAGTGGACGCAGGTGGCGGCCACGTACGTAAATACAATGACATAATAACAGGGTTCCTAACCTAAGCTGGGCGAGACACGAAGTTTTACAGGCTTGGAATTGTAATGCGAACGGTCTGCGTTTCTCCGGGTGTTTAACGACTGGAAGATGGCTTCGGTGAAATTCGGGAAGCACTTGAAAGAGTTGAGGATCCTCCTCTGCCAAACGTCCAAGTCAAGCCAAGGCGTTAGGTAAAACCTTAAAGACGACGTTCTATCTGCGATCCGAATTAATTGCGGCCCCCGTCAACTTTTGTGCGTGTGCATCTTGCAGAGATTTCATCGAGCAGCAATATGTACCGTTGAAGAAAAACAATCCGAGATTCCCCATTCTGATCAGGGAATGCTCGGCAATCGAACCGAAGCTGTATGCGCGCTACGGTACGTAAATACACGTCGTTTTCATGTCGTATCATCTCGAACAGCGTCAAGAGGTTTTTACGACTCGCTCGATTTTCACGTCCCCCCTTTGCCTTCACGCAAGTGCGAACGTTCGTTCGATTCTCACAAATTGTTTGCAAATAACATCGACTTTGCAGAATACGGCGTAGAGCGTTGCGTGCCTCTGTCGAACCTGAAATCCGAGGACATAGCCGGGAGGATTCAAGAGCTGGCGTCTCAAAAATAGATATACTTTATTACGTTAATGAATACGTGTATCATATGTATAGTGTTTTAATAAAATAGCTGTATCAATTAAAAGGCGATCTCGAAGACTTGCGTTGTCGGGAATCCGTCCGTACGGAGATTCCGTCGCTTGCTATCGATGCCTTTCGGTATCGTTAACTAGACGGCCAATCTAACAGAGACGCTCTTCAAGAGAGACGCAGCTCATCACGGGTTATTGCTAGTTAATACCGAAAACAGCCTCGATAGCAAATTACAGAATCCCCGCACAGATCTTGCGCGAGTTTTCCCTTTCAGGCATATAAATAACTCATGCTGACGATACACGGAAGTACATTATCAACCTAAATACACTTAAGATTGTGAAAACAACCAAGAAGAATTGCACGGTGAGTTGCTATTTTTTCGCAAAAATATTTACTTCTCCCATAAGTTTTATATATATTAAACGACTGGTATTTCGCAGAATATTTGCAATATCCTCTACAGGTTCAACTTAAAGTAAAATGACAGTGTAAGAATAAATTCCGGTACCGCGCGAGACTCGACGCTCAATAAATACAATCAAGAAACGCAGGCGTACGACTGGAACTTCATACCATTAACAAACATACAGCGCAGAGATCTCTTATGTGTGATATGTGCCAGCTGTATCCAAGAGGCAGTGATCTCTCCTGTGTTGTATGAAAATATACATCTCCAGAACATAATACTCGTGTCATCTTTTCTTTCTTTTTTTCAAATAAAATCTATGTACATCAGTCAGTGCTTCGCCAGTGCTAAGGAAAACCTGCCTGCAGGTTTTTGCTTCTCTTTCGCCGACAGTTATCTGCTTCGTTTATACGATAAATTGAATCTAATACGTCTAATACTCTCTTTAGCAAGCTAAGGCAAATAGCTTTAGGCTACGAATGGCGGCAGCCCAAAGTCCTCCGGCTTGAAGTCTTCCAGACTGTCCAGGACCAGCGTAGCGCTTTTGGTGAGGTGTTTGGGAAGCTGAGGATCCGGCACCATTACCGCTTGCATCTTGGCGGCGATAGCACCCTGCACTCCGTTCGGCGAATCTTCGAAGACTAGGCACTGTAAACATTGACTCGAATCGATTTGAAAAATGTAGAAAACCACCCAGGGCTGGGAAGTTACTTGTAACGCAGTTACAGCTACAGTTACTTTTTTCCTGGCAACTCTAACTTTGTTACTTTCTCTCCATCTGTAACTGTAACTTAACTCGGTTACATTTTTTTTCCGACAACTAGCAACTAATTTAATAGCTACATCAGTAGTTACTTTATATATTTTTCAAACCTCCGCAGATCGCGTTAGGTCTTGCATTTGCACACGAACGCTTTTATCGACACTTAATAATTCAAACGCAGATTTGATATTTTTATTTTCATTGCAGGACAAGTAACCGCGAGGTAACGATTCGTTGCTTTTTGAGTAACTGTAACTGTAACGCGTTACTTTCCAGAATCGGTAACTTGTAACTGTAACTAGTTACATTTTCAGCGAAAAAAAAACTGTAACTGGATACATTCATAAGGTAACTTTCCCAACCCTGAAAACCACGACGTCGGAGTGCGCGAACCTTTGAAGGGTCGGGATTATCGGGGAAGCGTTTCGCGGCAATCAGGAATATATCTGGATGTGGCTTTCCTTGGGCGACCTCTGGATCGGAGCCGCCGTACACCTTGTGGCTGAACAGGTCAAATATGTGCTTCCACTTCTGGGTCTTCAGGTCGCTGCTGTCCTGACTCGAACTTGTAGCCAGTGCGATAGGTACGTCATGCTTTTTCAGATGCCGCAGCAGCTTCTCCACGCCTGCGTGGAAAATTGATCGGGACACGACGCTGAAAGTCACTTTTCATCTCGCACAGCTTACCTGGCATAAGATTGCACTGAGGAAACACCTCTTGGTATATAGGCGCGAGCTTGTCCTCAAACGTTTGCACCGTAATCGGCAGCTGCAGCATATCTATTATGGTCTGCAGAGCATCGGCGCTTTTGAAACCCATAATCTTTGCCTTGTGCTCCCAGCTGTACGTTTTCCCGTACTCCTGAGTGACGCAATTGTATGCCATTGTGTACAGGGATTCCGTATCTACGTCGTGCAGAGAAACAGATGGCAATTAATAATCCAAAGTGTTGCGAGGGCGAAAAGAAAATATGTAGAAAGGAGAGAGTGCCAGTGTGAGCCACAAAATGAACCTCGGTTCTCACAATATAGAATCAAATTTCTCTTTAACAGCGTAAACGTTGTTTATGCTGTTAAATGTCAATTGTCTTCCTATTTAAAAGGAAAAACGTCCCGGCAGAGATCTCAATGTGATCGCCGAAAGGAATCAACGTAATTAAAAATCAAAATGCACCATCGTGTTGCAGAGCGACACGGTGTACGTTTGTTTAATCGATACGGAAATTATTTGTAGAACAGCAAGTCACCCGCGAGAGAGAAATTTCTTTACCTATTAACAAACCGTCCATGTCGAAAATGCAGTGAGTAACATCGCGAAAGCCCATTCTAAGCCGCGGTCGATTCTCTTAGGTTATCCAAGGTGATCTGCCAGTCGCCGCGAGGACCTGTATGCCGAGAAGTGCCGTGTTGCTCAATCGAAGTAGCGGCGAAAAACTCGTTATCAGCGACACGTTTCGCCAATTTCCGCTCCGCGATGAAACAGTTGGATGCTAATGCTTGTGCAATCGGATTTCGACATGTAGATACGGTATTGAGCGATACCAGATGTCTCCTCCCTCTCCTATCACTAGTCTCACGCGTGATCGCTTCAACCCTCTTGATGAAGAGCCCTCCGCCGAATTAGTCAATGAGCGAGGAAGAGAGCGCGCGCTCTTTACTCAACAATTATCTCGATGACCGAATGCAAAATATTCGTCACGAATAATAATTTTCTTAGTCCACGGTAAATGAACATTTTTCACGATTTTTGTGTAAATTTCAGAATCTTTTAGATTTTTTTCAATAATTTCGTAAGTTTTTTTACAAGCGCTCTCAGATTTTTTTCAATACAAATTGAAACACTTTTCAGAAGTACCGAGAAAGTTTATATCTTTTCTAGAGTTTTTCATATGTATGAACTCTGAAGTTTCTCATTCTACAATTTCAAACATTTATATATCTCAGAATATTCACATACCTATATGAAAAATTTTATAAAAAAAACGAAGTGCACTTTCTCAGTATTTCTGCAAAGTGTGCCAATTTGTATAGAAATTCTGAGAAAACATTTCACGGGGGTGAATAATAGACAAATAGTATTATTCGACCACAAATGGCTATAAATTTAATTTAAAAAATATTACCTTAGCCTGGATATTTCTCGCAATAAATTTTTCGAATTAAATTTATAGCAAGTTGTAGTTGAACAATACTATTTTCCTATTGTAAAGTATTTATGTTCGTATTATAAGAATGACGTAAAACTTGTAGAAAAAAAAAGATTACAGACACTGTGATGCCCCGCAATGAGACTGTAAATGTTCGTATCATGAATTGGGGATATAATATACATATTTATTACAAAAATTTTTATGAAATGCGTTCACGAAGTGTATTTGATAATAAATGTGGCTAAACAAATACGTATATACATTTAAACCTAATAGTAATACTAATAGTGGTACAATATAAAACGTATATAATCACTTACTTCATAAGTTTTTGTTCTATACAAAAAATTTTTACTACTTATATACGCATTTACTGGTTCCCATGTTTTCGTGCCAATCTCTTTTATAGCGAATTCGATTGCTTGCACTAGTGCGCACTGAGTGCACGCTACGGCTTGGTTTACAGTCAATTCCTACATTTAACTTCGTCTTTAATACACGTTGAAAATGTATTAATTGGAAAAATAATCCGTACGCATGCTTTACAGATCATTTTAGCAGGTAAGAAATATTTCAAGATCTAAGACGAGCCTTTAATATAAGAATTGACTGTAAACAAGCCTTAGTGTGCACTCAGTGCGCACTAGTGCAAGCAACCGAACTCGCTATTAGATTCTGTAAGGAAGAATTACATGCAAAATATGATAATAATCACTATATTATCATATTGGCTTTCTTAACTTTTATTGACTTATATCATTAGATCGGCCCACGATATAATTTTTGTTATTGACAATAACGAATTCTTATTATTATTATGGATTTTCCTTTTATATAT